GTATCCTGGTAACGTTTAAAGAAATCAGAATAACTGAGGACTTTTAACCCCTAATTTGATTCTTGTTTTACTCTTTTTTACATTTTTATCATACATCTATGAATCTGTTTTACACTGGTCATATTCAGTAGCACAGATACCTTTGAGTTTCGAATGTTTATATATCTGAAGTTGGTTTTATACACTTAGTGCAGATCCTAATTCTCTGCCACAGTTTTTTCCCTTTCCCCAGCAACTTTATTTTTGCAAGCTTTCTCAGTATTTTTCTATTCAACTGGAGCTCCACCCCATTACAGGAAGATTTGGGGGCTACAGTATGGCAAACATAGCATCCCACTTAATTTTGATTGATAGAATGGTCCAGTAAGTAAAACATTTTTGGAGATGCTGAATCTTGCTAATTTTTTTATATTATTTGAAAGGCAGAAAGAGAGATAAATCTTCCATCTCCAAATGGCCACAATGGCTGGGGCTGGGCCAGGCAGAAGGAAGAAACCAGGAACTCCATGCTGGTTTCCAACGTGGATGGCAGGGTCCCAAGTATTTGGGCCATCTTCCACTGCCTTCCCAAGAGCAACAGTAGGAAGCTGAATCAGAACCAGAGCAGCTAGGACTTCAGTCAGTGTTCCAATATGAAATGTCCATGTTGCAAATGCAGGCCTATCCAATTTGATTTTTAAGTATCTTATTAACTTAAGGTCTCAGCCAATGGGTCACCTCTCAGAAAGCATTCCCTTACTATTAGTGAATGAAGTTAGTTTGTCCTGCAGTGTGATCCCATACTACCCAGTTGCCCCTCTTTATATGTACTTTAATTAAATATATCTCTGCTTCACTAAAAATGTAAGCATGTTGGAAGCAAGAAGTGTCTTTCTCCCCAGTGTAGAGATGGCGCATTAATGCCTCTCAGGGTGGCACACCTCCCACCCCCCAAAATTAGAGGCATGGCTGCAGTTTCTGCTCACGTCAAAACAGGGCCGGGAAGGGCACACCGCCCCAAAGGAATGTGGCAGCGGGAGCAACAGGGGGCTAATGGACATTAATTGGTATCTGGAATATTTTCAGGAATTTGTAAACTTGCACAAGCATCTAAATGGGCCTGTCTCTGAAGATTTACAACACAGTTCTAATTCCTATCTTAGACCACCAGACCAAATTCCTATTCCCAAATCCTTAAGTTGATGTATAACCTTGCCTACATGCCTGCTGACTTGTAGACTTGCTGGTACTCTCTAAATAAAAGTGGGAGCACATAGCTATGCAGGGGCACGCTCTTAGAATGGACACTCCATGTCCTATCTCCCCATTTGAAAAACCCCATCACCTGGAGCCCGAACAGGGTCTCTTGGCATAGTATGCAAGGGACAGCTCACCTCACCCGGCAAGGACTACAGACGTGTCATTCATCTCTTGAGATCCCGGTGAGTCATTAACATGGGGAATTCCCTCTTCCTGGCACAACCACCCCCACACCTCAGTTTATTATTCCTTATGCTTGGCAAAGGTTCTGGCATGATAGATTCCACAGAAATAAGTTTTCTAGGAGAGATGCATGTAGCCTATGAACTATACTTTGAGAAATACTTTGGGGGAAGCTTCCCTCCAAGGCAGCAGACTCACTCAGTAAATAATTTTAATTACTCTATGTCCTTGGAATGAAGCAGCTGGACTTTTATCTAACCAATGGCTCTCAAATTTCCCAGATTAGTCATTTAAGAAATTCTGAAAGCACCTCCAAATTTGGAGGAGGTAGAGGATTGGGATTCAGAAAGGGAATTAGTAAGAAGTAAAATTAAAGCCAAGTACTATACATTTGAAATTAGATCCAATTAGATTGGTATACCTAAAAACAAGGTAGGTCTAACCATAGACGCTTATAAAGACTTATAGGACCATCAAATTGTACTCCTTTGCTAAATTACAAATGTAGCATTAAGAGCACGGCTCACAGGCTATTGAGTCATAAACATTGGGCTTTAAAGACCAGATCTGCCACCTATAAATTCTAGGACCTTGGTTAAACTAAGTAATTTGTTCCTGAAAGATGTCAGTAATCCTGAAAGATGATAATGATGGCACTGAACCACAAAGGGCTAACAGTATTTAATTATTGTAAAGGTTTACCTGTGGCCTTAATACAGGGAGAAGGCTCACTAAATGACAGCTATCATGAATGGCTCCATCATTGGGATGTAAGCTTGAAGAGAACATATAATTTGTCTTATACAGAATTGTTTCCCCAGTTTCTAGAATAGTTAACTGTTTGACATTTGATCACAATTTTTGAATGTGATTCACATGACTATATAATATGCTGAACCAAATATAAAAATGTCACTATTTTACAAAGTTCTCTCCTTCTCTATATATATATATTAAAATGTGTATATATTATATGCATACACATATTTAGTGTGTATTTCCTTCTATACAAAGAACAAACAGAAATAACTCCTGCAAATTCTCACATAATTTTTTAGATAGGAATTATGAGGTCTCGGCCGGCACCGCAGCTCACTAGGCTAATCCTCCGCCTGCGGCACCTGCACTCTGGGTTCTAGTCCTGGTTGGGGCGCCAATTGTCTCAGTTGCTCCTCTTCCAGTCCAGCTCTCTGCTGTGGCCTGGGAGTGCAGCGGAGCATGAACCAACCGAAGGAAGACCTTTCTCTCTCTCTCTCTCACTAACTCTGCCTGTCAAAAAAAAAAAAAAAAAAGGAAGAAAGAAAAAAAAAAGGAAAAGAATTATGAGGTCTCACAAATAGACCAAAGAAGGAAACAAGTAGGCAAATTTAAAATCCTGTATGTTTAGAGTGTTAATTGTTAAATTATCAACAGGAGTCACTGTGCACTATTCCCTGTGCAGGACCTCTGTCCTCAGTGAGTTGTATTATGAGAGTTAACTGTAAAACTTGTTCTCGTTTTTCTGTGCGTGTGTGTGCAAATTGTTGAAAGCTTTACTTAGTATAGAGTTGGTCTTCTGTGTACAAAATTAATTGAAAATGAATCCTAATGGAGAATGGGACTGAGAAGAGGAGAGGGAGGGGGAAGAGGGGTGAGAGGGTGGTTGGGAGAACAGGTATGGTGGGAAGAATAACTATATTCCTAAAGTTGTACTTGTGAAATTTGTATTCCTTAATAAAGCCTGTGTATTTTACCTCTGTGTACCATACACAGTTCAGAAAATCAAAGACATCATTTTTTATTTATTTTTAATGATGAAAACCAGTGGCAGGTACTGGGGTCTCAAAGAGCTAATTAATAAAATCTATAATGAACTGTCCTAAGTAGGTCTATCTTACTTGTTCATCAAAGAATTTTTGAGAGCTCTATCTTGATCATATGTGACTAATGGCATGCATAAACAGACCTGAAGTCCAAGTCTGGGACAATGAGAGCCTAAACATAAAGCAAAGGCTTTGATTAGTTTACTTCAGGCTCATAACCATCATCTGTCCTATGAACATTACTCTCAGCAAGCAAGACCAGGATGACATGGTCAGCAGAACACCAGGGTAACAATTGTTAAAATCACAAGGTTACAGCAGAAATGGAGGTCTTAAAGGCTCCATGACTTGAGAGATCACAGAATAGACTGTTTTCCAGATTCTCAGGGTTACATGTGGACATAAAGTCCCCGCACAACTATCCAGCTTTTAGTTCATTACTAATATACCAAAAACTAAACAAGTTTTAGATTAACAAATTTAAATAGTGTGCCCTTTATGTGAGGATTTAACAGACTTAAATGGCAACTGAACTCTACAATAATATAGAATAGCATGTTTACCATGTTTCAGGCACCACTTTCATCCTCAGATATGTGTTAACACATTTTTTTAAAACATTTATTTTATTTGAAAGAGTTTGGGGGCAGGGGAGGAGTGAGATAGAGAAATCTTCCATCCACTGATTCACTACCCAGATGGCTGCAACAGCCTGGGCTGGGTCAGGACAAAACCAGGAGCCAGGAGCTTCATCTGAGTCTCCCACGTGGGTAGCAGGGCCAAAACATTTGGGTCATCTTCTGCTTTTCCCAGGCCATTAGCAGAGAGCTGGATCAGAAGCGGAGCAACCAGGGCATGAACCATCACTCATGGGATGCCAGAGTTGCAGGCAGCAGCAACCTGCTACACCACAACGCCAGCCTCATGTCAACAAATTTAATCCTCACAACACAGTAGGTGGAGTGTTAAGAAATGGACCTAGGAAATGAGGCAGCAGGGGCTATAAACTACTGAGTTAAACTATCAAAATGTGTACTAAGCATATATCTAAAAGTAGATATACCTAAAAATAGATGTAATTTGAGTGTTGATTGCAAAGCCGTACAAATATAATTTAGCTCTATTTTGTATATTTCCCTTCATTTGTCACTTTTTAATTTTTTAAGATTTATTTTTATTTATTTGAAAGCCAGAGTGACACACATAGAGAGGGTCCCCAAATGACCCCAACACCCAGCCCAATGCCAGGAGCCTGGAACTACATCTGGGTCTCCCACGTGGGTGGCAGGAGCCCAAGTACTTGGGCCATTTTCCACTGCTTTCCCAGGCATACTAGAAGGGAGCTGGATTGGAGGCAGAGCAGCCAGAACTTCAACCAGAGCTCCGACATGGGAGGCCAGCGTAGCAGGTGGCAGCTTAACCTTCTTACCACAATGCCAGTTCCACCAGTATTTTTTTTTAAGCCACCACAAAACCAAGTTCTTTTGCTATCAGAAGACTCATTTGTTTCGAAACATTCATTTAAGCATTATATGACCCAATTATGCAACATGGTTAAAGATAGTTTGCCTTCCCTTTTCTAATTCAGCCCATTTCATCCAGCACTGAAATCTTAAGGGGACAAATTACTGTTCCTGCATAACAACCCACTTAAGGAAGTCTTTTTTTTTTTTAATTATATTAAGAACTCTTTATAAAACCAAGCTATATATTCATACACTATAATATTAAGGTATAATTCCAGGAAACTAAAGAATGAAATATTACTTTAAAAAGTTAATGTGGAGAAGTTGAGGGAAGTTTTATTATTGATATCAAAGAAAACTTCAAATACTGTACAGTGAGCTGTGTAGAACACTATACACTGTTATAATACACTATTAGCAATTATTCATCACTTAAATATATACAGTAATCAAAAATCAGAAAATGGAAAACAGCCAGTGCCTTAAGGATGATGTAACAACTATACTATTTTATTAAGCAGTTGAAGTACTTGCTATTCCACTTTTTCTAAATATTTATGCTACTACTGCTTATTTTTACATATTCTAAATAGCAGTTCCCTCTAAAAAGTATTCTCTCTTGTTCTTGGCACTAATTCTTACAAATTGACTTTAAAGTCAAACAAACCTGAAAATACTGGTAACCTTTTCAGTCTTTTATTGCTCTACCACAGGCATAAAGGCTCAGGAAGGGATTTCTTAAGAAAAATATGCAATACTTTATAATTTGAAATACTAAGTAATTGATACTCACAAGCAGATAACATCAACTAAAACTTTTTTCTTTACTAGTTTTCCTTTTCTTTTACAAGAGAATAATCATTGTACTATTATACTACAAAAGCTTGTAGACTCCATAATTAAAAAATTTAAATGTCAGATATACAAGTAATGGCATTTTATCCAATAATTCACAATTTTTACAATTTCTGGTATTCTGGGACAAATGTTAAAATTTCCACGATTTAAGTATCATTAAATATCAATTGAAACACTTAGCATCTTGAAGAATCAAGAACGGCAGAACTTGCAATTAACTCTACTATCTTACATTGGTGATATATCTCCCCTTTGCTATTTTATTCCTTAAATATACATTTTGCTGTATTTTCATGTAAATAGTTTTGGCTTGAAAATTTCTTAAAGTAATTGTAAAGAGCCTTGAGGTTGTACAATTTTGTTAAATTATGTGATAACCTTGAAATGTAGGATGTCTACCCAAATTACATAAAATATTATCTATACCTGTTAGAAAATTTCATTTAAAGTTCATATTGATTGGAATTTAACTAATTTTGCAAAAGCTTTGCTTTCATGAAAATCTGAAGATGGAAATCTTGCTTCGAGAACCGTAAAATTCTCAAAATCTGTGCAGTAGCATTTTAAATATGGGCCAATTAAGTTACTGTTGAAAAATGAGGACAAAATTGTATTGATACTGAAGTGTTTTATAGTATTGTCACCATATTGATCAATTATGTAATTAATGACAGAAGTTATATGTTTATTTCCTACCTAAAGGTTGGTTGTGAGGTCTAAATATTTAGCAGGCATTCTTAGTAGGTAACTACATAAAATAATACTATTATAATTTTTGTATTTAGCAGCTAACATGTGGTATGTCAATGTAACTCTCAAAAATCTGTCATTAGTAGTATATGAGTTGCTAGCAAGTGATCTTCCCTGAGGTAAAAAGACCATATGCTCATCTCCAATGAAATTAAATACTTAACACAGTGGCAATAAGGACCTGTGGCTAGGAATCACAGATGTACTTCAGATTTATACCTTAACTGCAATCAGCAGCCTTGACTGTAAAAACCAAAGTAAAATCATAGGAGCAAGTTTCAGTCAATAGCATTTGCTAAATTTCTCAGGCCTCAACCCTAACATTTTCTAATAAATATCTGAAAAGATAGCGAAAGGGGATAAAGTAGGCTATATAGGCCTGCTCCTTAGTTCCTGAGTAAGCATCTCCCTGGAGTTAAATATTATTCTGTCTCCTAATATTTGGCAGTGCCCTGTTTTCTTCAATTTCAACAAGTTCCTCATACCAGTATTTTGGACATACACCACGTTTAACTCCACCTACACTTTGGGTCATCAACTCAAACTTGGTATGATTAACTATAGAACAAATTACTGAAGAAGTTCACAATTTTATCTCAATGTTCAGTAGGACACTGCAAAAAGAACTGAATTAAAGTATCAAGTTACAGTTATGTTAACATCCAGGGCTAAAAAATTTTTTTAGCTGATTTGGACTCAAAGATGTGGCAATATCATAAATGATAGTACTAAGATCAATAATCATTCTATATTCATGTGTTTGATTATGATAACCATAGGGAAGGTCAAAGGATGATGTTTAAAACTTACAGAGGGAGTGGGCATATAGTCTAGCAGTTAAGACAGTAGTTAAGATGCCAGTGTCTCGTATAAGAGTACTTGGATTCAATTTCTGACTCTAGCTTGTGACTCAAGCCTCTTGCTTAATGCAGATCCTGGAAGGCAGCAGTGATGGCTCAAGTAATTGGGTTCCTGCCACCCATGAGGAGACCTGGCTTCTGATCCTGGCTCTTGGCTTCCACCATGCCCAGCCTTGAGCATTGCAGTCATTTGGAGAATTCAATCAATAGATGGGAGCTCTCTGTCTGTCTCTGTTCCTCAAATAAATAAAGAAGTTTAAAAAAAAGTAAAGAAACAAAATTTCTTTGTCACGATGACATCTGGCCCACTTAACAAAAAACATAAATTTCCTCCAACCAAATTTCCAGCTTGTTTAAAATAATTTCAAGAAATTTTTATCACTTCTCAGAATCAAGCCTTTTATTCTTTATCAAAGGAGAATCCAAACTGTTATTGTATTATCCATACCTGACTGGCTTCTAAAGAGCATTACTGTAGCTACAGAAACTAACAAAGTATTGTCAGAGATAAATCCCATCTTCTAATGTTCACATGTTTCTTGATATTTTTACTTTAACACTATGAGATTATGTTTGTCAGTTATTAACTAAACATACCAAGCCACAGGTGAAGTATTTGTTAAAGAAAAGATGATTATATAATTTGGAAGCAGTGCTTTTTTTTTGCTTATTAAACAGTTTTACCATATTTAAGTCCAAAAAATGAAAAAATGGAAAACATTCCAATGGCTGAAAAATCCAAAAATCATAGTGGTTAGTGAAGTGATATCTTTAATGCACAGAAGCTGGCTAGACTAAGTGACAAATATTATTTGGTAGGTGCATCTCTTACTTTAAGTAAAACTAGTGCACAATATAGAAGTTCTAAATTTTCCTGCTATTTAGATATATAGAAAGACATTTAAAAACAAATTTCTAACTAGAAGAATGGAAATAAAATATTACAAAGAAAAGCATGTGATGTGATAAAAATTAATTGACATAGATGTATATATATCTTGTTCAGATGCATTTGTAAAATGTCTAGATTCTCCAATCTTTCCTTATTCAAAATGGAGTAGTTTGTTTAATGTGAAGATTCAGTTAGAGATACTTTCATAGAAAGAATCAAAACCTCCTTTATCTGGAAAAACAAGTTAAAGTCCTGTCTATATCCCTTATGTATCAACAGGTAGAGATTTTTAAATACCTGATATACATTTTCTTAGAATTGCAAGCACTTCTACATCTGTTACATGTGCAAACAGAGACAGCCAGGCTTTGAATGCTCTAGGTAAGAGACTGTATTAACATATATCTTTGTCTTTCATCCATTCAAATTCAACTTAATTTCAGTGAACAGAGGAAGAAGATGGATTGAAATGTACAATTCAGAATACAGATTTGCAGAATAGGATAAAATAGTGCAATACCAATCTCAAGATTAAACACTCTTTTTCTTTAAGGAATAAGCATAAAAGCTGCTTCTCAAGGAAACTGGCACTAAAGATTTGTTGAATACACTATCAAGCAAATGCCCAGTAAATCAGGGTATGATGCAGTAAAATTTGCATCCAAACCCAAGTTAAGCAAACAAATAAAACCTTATGGACTCTACAAAAACAAAGGAACATTTTTGGCTCAAAGGGGCTTAAAGACACTTAGCATATACAGGCTTAAATACCATTGATCAAAATCGTAGAACAATGTAACTTATTCATAAAGATAAATTCTTATTTATAAATTCTGTGAATCTGACAAACTGAAAATTAGAGATTAACTACTGCTACCATTATTTCTTTAATTTTCTACCACAATTTGCAATCCACTTTTCTGCAAGATTAAAAAAAAATTAGGTGATACTTGACCAGGCCAGGAGTCAAAAAATAATGGTAACTTATTATCAATAATAGAGCACACAATTAGTTGTATTGGCTCAGACAGCAACAAAACTGAATCACATTGACTTTATCATTTTAGAACAGATATTTTTTTCCAACTTTGCTCAAATCAGCAAATTGTTATATCATTACACTACATTCTCAAGATACTTTTGCCACGAATACCTATCCCTATGAATGTGTTTACATTCATGGAAATGTCAGAATCTGTTTAATGAAGCATTTTATGAATTTTAAGATACAATTTAGTTCAGACAACCTTCAGTTTTACATAAATCTTTTGACACACTAATAAATTTGTGGGATGGTTATCTTGATGACATCAACATTAGCAAAATCTTATTTACTCCCTAGTTCTGGCCTTTTCAGAAAACATATTTAGCAAGAGATTTTTCATGTATGAAATGTTAAAACATTCGTGGAATTAAAATTACAAACAACTTCCAATGAACCACATATATGGAAGAAACTCATCTCAGCAGATCTAATAACTAGTTTATAGGAATTCAGAGCCAGCCTGGGCAGCAGAATATTAAAAGCTATTGCCAATCACACATTGCTGTCATGCACTGAATAACAAGATATAATCTCTGAATTATATACGTACAAGATTTTTAATGACTAATCAAGTTATGTGGCCCAGCCAACAAATATTACATATTCACAATAAACACTATGCCTTTATCAGCCTCTAATTAAATCAAGAGTGATCCATTGGCTCAGTTGTGTTAGTCATCTCAGCATCTTGACTATCCATCTCTTCAGGTTCCTCCACAGAATTTCCCTTTTGTGCTTTTGACCTTGTGGCAAAAGCTGCTCCCAATGCATCTGCCACACAGCTATCAGTTGTTTCTGTATTCAAATTTTCAGTGCCACCAGTTAAAGAAAAAGATTCAGCCACGCTAGTCTGAAGACTCCCAGACCTTGCAGAAGAACTCACTTCTCCTTTCCTCTGAGGAAGATCAGATGGTGACTGCTCTGTGCTTTGATCCCGTAAGTGCTTGTCCATTGAAGCCTGGATAGAAGAAACCATTTCCTGCAATTTTTTTCGTTGGGCCTCAACCAAATCAGGATCAAGCTGCCTGCTGTCTCTCGTTGTTACTACTCCAGGCGCCATTCGAATCAGCTCACTGTTACCAGGAGCAGATGTGAAGACAGGAGGCTCTGTTTTTGTGGAACTATGACTAAAGTCTGTCCCTGTATTATGCTTTCTTTCCCTAGCTCTTGGATCAAGGTGTGGACTACTGGATGCAGTTCCTAGAGAATGCCCCTTTCCCTGAAAAGCAGTTACGTTATGAAGTTGCTCAGATTTCTTTTTTACTACGCCACCACTACCTAGTTTTAATAGCCCATGTGAGGGGCTTGATTCCCTGCTTCTTGTAGTAGCCTCTGCTCGAACCTGACTTACAGCCTCTTTAACTAAATCTTCAACATCAGGACCAATGGGGAAGTGTCCTGCAGCATCCACACACAACTCCAGTCTATCTTCAGAAGCATTATAGACAAAGGTTTTGCCAGGTAGATGTGGAAAAGTACAATGTTTGCCATCAGCCATACCTAAAAGGGAAAAAATTAATACATTAATATCTTCCTTATGGTATTAAGGCAAAAATACAATAAAGATAATTATGGTTGCAATAGAATTTTCTATACCAATTTATAGGTAACAGCTTCAAATTTTTGATTAGAAGAAAGTTAAATCTACTATGAAAAAGAACCATCATCAGAGACTTTAAAGGAGTTCTCCAGGGGATCTTTTTTTTTTTTAAATAAAACTCATATCCTATTAGTGCAGTTAGAAAAAGGGCTTGCAACAAGTAACTGAGCTATAAGAAAAACACAAAGAGGCCAGCGTTGTGGCATAGTGGGTTAAGTCACCGCCTGTGATGCTGGCATCCAATAAGCACTCCAGCTGGCGTCCTGGTTGCTCCACTTCACTTCAGTTCCCTCTAATGTGCCTGGGAAAGCAGTAGAAGACGTCCCCGGTACTTTGGCCCTTGCCACCCATGTGGAAAACCAGGATGAAGTTCCTGGCTCCTGGTTTCAGCCTGGCCCAGTCCTGGCTGTTGTGACATTTGGTGAACAAGCAGATGGAAGAGTTTTTTCTGTCTGTCTCCCTCTGCCTCTCTGTAACTTTGCCTCTCAAATAAATAAATAAATCTTTGAAGAAAAAGTAACATAAATACAATGTAAACCAAGAAGAAAACATCCTTTAAAATTTTTTTTTAAAGATTTGTTTTACTAATTTGAAAAGCAGAATTACAGGGAAAAGGAGGGATATATAGAGAGATCTTCCACCCATGGGTTCACTCCCCAAAGGACAGCAACAGCTGGGGCTGGGACAGGCCAAAGCCAGGAAACTCATCTGGGCCTCCCACATGGTTCTGGGGAACCAAGGACTTGGGCCGTTCTCTGCTGCTTTCCTAGGTGCATTAGCAGGGAGCTGTATAGGAAGTGGAGCAGCCGGGACTTAAACTGGTGCCCATATAGGATTCTAGCAATGCAGGCAGCAGACTTAACCACTATACCACAATACCAGCCTAAAAACATACTTTTTATATACTGATACTCCAATTATAATTTTGAACAATTTCAATGGCAGGTTAAATATCAATTAATAAAAATTCATGTAGAATTTCCACAACATATTTTCAGTAGAGATGGCTGACAAAAAGAGAAACGCAAAATTAAAGTTAGAAATAGTCTTGAATCATACTTTTCTGGGTACACCATGGAATCAGTTTACTGTCTACCAATTCCCTTGTCAGAGATCTGTAAACCATGGCTCAGGACACAAAGGTAGTAAAGAATAGAGTTTTATAAGGCCAGGAAGGCTCAGAGGCAAAGTTTTAAACATTCATTCCAATAGATAACATCTACTGAACCTCACTAAAACAGACTGTGAAGGTTTAAAAACAAGGTATCACAATTCTTAGAGGCCAGACACTATAAACAGGCTACATTTAATAATGGCTAAATTACTTTTTGTCTCAATTATTTGGTGATTAAATGAGAAAATATGCAAAGCAAATATACCACAGTGCCTAATTTATACCAGTCAACATATTTCAATGTTTTGATTAATTCAAAAAAGGTTTCGTAACTATTCTCAGGCTACTACTGTGATATATCCCTTTGGCTATCCCTGGAAAGTAAATCCCACACATGTTCATCATAGTATTATTTATAATTAAACAATGGAAACAGTTTAAACTTTCAACAAGAAGAGAATGATTAAGTTATGGCCTTTTGGAAAATATTATTACTTTATTATTATAATATTAAATTAATATAAACAAGACAGCCATGACACTTGACATATACAGTGAACTAGTTGGAAATGAATCAAAGTGTACGTGCGACAGAAATTTAGAGAGGGGAATGATGAATGAACTCTGGAACGCTCTATGGGAATTTAGGCAGTCTCTAGTCTTGTAAGATATTCATAGTTTCTCCCGCCCCTAAAAAAAGCTAGAGTGGTTCTAACGTACCTCTTTGAGAATATTCCAAGTAACTATAGAACTCAATTGTAAATGAATAAATTGTTTATGTTTTATATAACTTATTTAGTCCTTTGAATTTCAAGAATCAAGGTACATTAAAACTCTTGTATCACATACCAGTAATTCTCTTACTAATGTGCCAAGGACATATATATTAGTATTTAAGTCTACACTGTTCTTTATACCAAAAAACGAGAAACTATCCCAAGACTCCATCAGCAGAACAATGGATGAATTATGTTAAAACAATACAACAAAATAATATGCAGCAGTGAAAATGAACTATAACTAAACCCAACAACATGAATGTATCTGAAAAAGTGTTGCATGAAAGAAACAAGTCATGGAAGAACTTATGGATCATAAATACATTTTACAGAACTTAAACACAAAATTGAATATTATATGGCTAAAGGATATCTACACAAGTGTTAAAACTGCCATTCATCATTGCATTTACTTCAAAACACAGATCTGTAAGGAAACTAATGACATTCTCATTTACACGGACAGTATTTCTATTTAAATGTAGATAAAATCATCTATCTGATAGAGTAGATTTGAACAAAGACAAGTATGTTCTTCTGTTACTAGAGGACAGAGGTAAATGTGTCAGGGTGTCCATAACCCATAATAATCTATCAATAAGCATCTACTTAAGGTAACTAGAAGGAAAAGAGCAAATTAAACCCAAAGCAAGAATAAGAAAGGAAAAAACAAAAGATAAAAACAGAAATAAGGCCGGAGCCGTGGCTCACTAGGCTAATCCTCCGCCTGCGGTGCCGGCACTCTGGGTTCTAGTCCCGGTTGGGGCACCAGATTCTGTCCCAGTTGCTCCTCTTCCAGTCCAGTTCTCTGCTGTGGCCCAGGAGTGCAGTGGAGGATGACCCAGGTCCTTGGGCCCTGCACCCGCATGGGAGACCAGGAGGAAGCACCTGGCTCCTGCCTTTGGATTGGTGTAGCACGCCGGCCGCAACACGCCGGCCTTAGTGGCCACTTGGGGAGTGAACAACGGAAAAAGGAAGACCTTTCTCTCTGTTTCTCTCTCACTGTCTAACTCTGCCCGTCCAGAAGGAAGGAAGGAAGGAAGGAAGGAAGGAAGGAAGGAAGGAAGGAAGGAAGGAAGGAAAACTGAAATTAAAAAAAATAACAGAACATCTAGTGAATCCAAAAGTTGTTTCATTGAAAAGATCAATAAAACTGATAAACTATTAGCCAAGAGAAAAAAAATGGGTGGAGGAAGAAGGCACAAATTGCCAATATCAGACATTAAAAGGAAAATTAAGAAATACTATAAACAACTTTAAGCCAATAAATTAGCTAAGTTGGTTGAAATGGATAGATTTCTCAAAAGATAAAACTAACAAAGCTTTACTTAAGAGAATTATCTTTATTAACTATCTTAAAGAAGTTAAATCCATAGCAAACTCCAAATTCAGACAGCTTAACTGGTGAATTTTACCAAATGGTTAGCAGAAAACAACAGGAAGAAATGCTCCCAACTCTATTTTATGAAGCCATCATTACTCTAACTAAGCAGTCATTAAAAGAAAACTAAAGACTGTTATTCGCATGAACATAGTCACAAAAACACTCAACAAATGGAAGCTATCAAGCAAAACTGGTCAACATTCAAAAATCAACAAACTATATATATGATCATCTTAATAGATACAGAAAAAGGACAGACAAGATTCAACAGCTATTCACTATACAAACTTAGCAAATCTTAGAAGAAAATGTCTTCAAATCGTATCAAGGATACCTCAGAAAAACCTAAAAGTTGAATACATTCCCTGAAGGTAAGGAACAAGGCAAAAATTTCCACTCTTACCACTGCTATTCAATATTGAACTGAAAGTATTAGCTATTGTCATAAAGGAAGAAAATGCCATAAAGGCATAAAAGATTTTAAAATGAATCAAACTTTATTTGCAAAAGACATGATGGCCTATACAGATAATCCCAAGTAATCTACCTAATTTCATTGTCTACTAGAACTAAAATGTAAGTTTAGCAAGGTCACAGGGTACAAGATCAATGTATGAATACCAATTTTATTTCTATAAACTAGTAATCAATAGGAAATTTTAAATTTTTAAAAAATATCGTTTATAATATCATCAAAAAGATGGCAAAATATTTAGGTATAAATCTAACAAAGTATGACAAGATCTGTATGCTGAAAATTAATGAAAACTTAAAGATAAAATTATAACATTTTCATGAATCAGAAGACTCAATGCCATGAAGAAATCAACTGTTGTCAATTTGATTTACATAGTTAATGCAGTCAAATAAAAATACACCAGACTTTTTTTTTTACAGAAATTAACAAAATGGTTCTAAAACTTACATGAATAAGCAAAAGATCCGGAATACCGGAAACAGTTTTGAAAAAGAATCAAGATAAGAGGCTGACGCTGTGGCATAGTGAGCAAAGCTGCCACCTGCATGCTGACATCCCATATGGGGACCAGTTCAAGACCTGGCTGCTCCATTTCCAATCCAGCTCTCTGCTATGGCCTGGGAAGGCAGCAGAGGATGGCCTAAGTTCTTGGGCTCCTGCACCCTTGTGGGAGACCCGGAGGAAGCTTCTGGCTCCTGCTCCAGATAAGCCCAGCTCTAGCCATTGCGGCAATTTTGAGAGTAGACCAGCGGATGCAAGACTTCTCTCTCTCTGCCTATGCCTGTCTGTAGCTCTGCCTTTCAAACAAATAAATAAATCTCAAAAAAAAAAAATCAAGATGGAATATTCACATCAATTCTGATTTCAGGAATTACTAAAAGGATACAATAATCAAGATGAGGCACTGACAAAAGGAGAGATATATAGGTCAACAAAACAGTAAGAGATTTTAAAACTAGGCTAATATGGTCAATTGCTTTTTATTTTATTTTTTTAAGATTTATTTATTTGCTTCAAAGGCAGAGTTACAGAGAGGCAGAGGCAGAGAGAGAGAGAGAGCAAGAGAGGTTTTCCATCTGCTGATTCACTCCCCAGATGGCTGCGAGAACCAGAGAGCTGAGCAGATCCAAAGCCAACAGTCAGAAGCTTCTTCCAGGTCTCCCACGTGGGTGCAGGGGCCCAAACACTTGAGCCATCTTATACTGCGTTCTCAGGCCATAGCAGAGCTGGATCGGAAGTGGAGCAGCCGGGACTTGAACTGGTACTCATATGGGATGCTGGCACTGCAGGCAGCTGCTTTTACCCCCTATGCCACAGCACAGGTGGTCAATCACTTTTTAAAAAGAACTTTACTGGCCAGTGCCGTAGCTCACTGGGCTGGTCCTCCGCCTGCAATGCCGGCACCCCAGGTTCTAGTCCCAGTTGGGGCGCCGGGTGCTGGTCCCGGTTGCTCCTCTTCCGGTCTGGCTCTCTGCTGTGGCCCAGGAGGGCAGCGGAGGATGGCCCAGGTGCTTGGGTTCCTGCACCCGCATGGGAGACCGGGAGGAGGCACCTGGCTCCTGGCTTCAGATCAGCACAGCAACAGCTATGGTGGCCATCAGGGGAGTGAACCAACGAAAGGAAGACCTTTCTCTGTCTCTCTCTCACTGTCTAACTCTGCATGTCTAGTTAAAAATATAAGTAGAAAATGAAAAAGAGACTTTAACTCATACCTTGCAACATATTAAAACATCAACATGAAACGCATCATAAACCTAGATAAAATCTTAATAACTATAAAATTTCTAGGAAAAAAAAAGAATAAACTTTTTTGGACCTTGGATTAGGCAAGTATTTCTTAGGACACAAAAAGCATGAACCAAAAAGAAAAAAATGTTAAGTTGGATTATACCAAAATTTAAAAATCTTATCTTTAAAAGATACAGCAAAGAGAATAAAAAAGGTAAAGCTACAGATTGAGAGAAAATATTTGCAAAAACACTTATGTGATAAATGACATGTCCTCAAAAAAATGTATATAAATAATTTTCAAAATTCACGAGCAACATAAAAAACAATTTTACAATGGGCAAAAAAAAGCAAACAAGCACAAAGATGCTCAACATTATTAGTTATCAGGGAAATGGAAATTAAAACCACTGTGAGAAAGTACTACAAACCTATTAGAATGGTTTTTAGAAACAAAAACTGATATTACCAATTGCTATCAAGAATACAGAATAACTAGAACTAACAGACAGTGCTAGTGGGAAGTAAAAACGTTTAGCTACTTTAGAAAATGATTTGGAAGTTTCTTATAAAGATAAATTTACCAGATGACCCAGTAATTCCACTCCTACATATTTACTAAAGAAAAGTAAAGACATATCCCTACACAAAGACCTATACACAAATGTTTATGATGGTTTTATTCATAATAGCTAAAAACTGAAAATAAGCAAATATCCTTGAACTGGATATGGATTTTTCTTAAAATGTGGAAAAATCTATAAATATAATTCTACTCTGCACTGAAAAGGAAAAAATTCTAATAGAGTCAACAAAGTAGTGTACTACCAAAAAGGTCAATGTTTTTCTGTAAAGGGTAGCATGGTAAATAAATAGTTTTGGCTTTGTAGACCACATCTTCTTTGTCTCAGCTATGAGAAGCAGCAATAAACAATAAACAGCATGGTGTCCCAATAAAACTTTATATACAACAACAGGCAGCAGATCTAATATGACCCACAAGCCATGGTTTGCCAACTTCTGTGCTAAATCAAAGAAGCCAGACAAAAGGTTATCCTTTATGATTCCATTTATGTGGCACTATGAAAAAGGCAAATACAGAGGGATAGATCCTACTGAACCTATAGTCTTTTTACTTCATATTTGCTGAATCCTTTATTTAGTGGATAATTAAGCCATTGACCATAACATAAATTAAAAAATGTGATCTCGAAAATTACACAAAAATATATACACACAAAAACAAAACAAACAAAAAAACAACTGGCTGGCCAAGGTCTGGAGGCAGTACTTAGGGAGACTGATTACAAAAGAGCACAGGCAACTTTTTGAAGTGATGAAAAGAATTTTTTTAATTTTGAATATTTATTTATTTGAAATGCAGAGTACCAGAGAGAGAGGGAGAGGCAGACATCTTCCATAAAGTGGTTCATTCCCACAATGACCCCAACAGCCGAGGCTGGACCAGGCTCAAGCCAGGAGCCAGGCACTCCATCTGGGTTACCCATATACATGTCAGGGGCCCAAGCATTTGGGTCATCATCTGCTGCCTTCCCAGGCAAATTAGCAGGAAATTGGATTGGAAGCAAAGTAGCCAGGACTTGAATCAGCACTCCGATGTAGAATGTGGTCATCCCAAGAACAGGCTTAGCCCTGCTGTACCACAGCACCCACCCCTGAGACTTACTTTAAGACAGTTCAGTTGAGAAGAAGGTGGACATGTACTGATAATTGCTGAAGCTGGGTAGTGGGTAAATGGGGGTTTGTTACATTATTCTTGCCACACTAGTATATTCCTGAACATTTCTACAACAGCCAAGTTGGATGAATGTTTTTTCAAGTTTTATTCAGGGGCCGGCACAGTGGCGTAGAGGGTTAAGCCACTGCCTGCACTGCTGGCATCCCATATGGGCACCAGTTTGAGACTCGGCTGCTCCACTTCCGATCCAACTCTCTGCTATGGCCTTGGAAAGCAGCAGAAGATGGCCCAAGTCCTTGGGCCCTGCATTCATATGGAAAACCCAGAGGAAGTTCCTAGCTCCTGGCTTTGGATCGGCACAGCTCTGGCCATTGAGGCCAATTGGGGAGTGAACCAGCAGATGGAAGACCTCTCTCTCTCTCTCTCTCTCTTCCTCTATGTAACTCTGACTTTCAAATAAATAAACAAATATTTTTTTAATGTTTATTTATTTATTTGAAAGTCAGAGTTACACAGAGAAGAGAGGCAGAGAGAGAGAGAGAGAGGTCCTCCATCTGATGGTTCACTCCCCAATTGGCCGCAACGGCCGGAGCTGCGCCGATCTGAACCCAGGAGCCAGGAGCTTCTTCCAGGTCTCCCATTTGGGTGCAGAGGCCCAAGGGCTTGGGCCATCTTCCGATGTCTTCCCAGGCCACAGCAGAGAGCTGGATCAGAAGTGGAGCAGCCAGGTCTTGAATGCGCCCATATGGGATGCTGGCGCTTCAGCCAGGGCGTTAAACCACTGAGCCACAGTGCCGGCTCCATAAATAATAAAATACAATAAATAAATGAATAAATAAATAATAAAATTTAAAAAAAAGTTTTATTCGAATGGCAGAGAAGCAGAGATGGACAGAGAAGAATCTTTATCTGCTGGTTCACTCCTCAAATGCCCTTAACAGCCAGGGCCACGCTAGGTCAAGACCAGGAGCCCAGAACTCTATCAGGGTCTCTCATGTGGGTAGAAGGGACCCAATAATGCAGCCATTATCTGCTGCCTCCCTAGGTGCACATTAGCAGGAAGCTGGCTAGGAAGCAGAGGTAGGACTTGAATCCATGCATTCCAATAAGGGATGTGGGCATCCCAAGTGGCATTTCACTGTGCCAAATGCCTGTCCCAGAGGGGTAATTTGAAGAAGGAAAAATAGGGGCTGGTGCTGTGGAGCAGCAGGTTAAGCAACGCCCTGCAGTGTCACATCCCATGTGGGTGCCAGTTCCAGTCCTGGGTACTCCAGCTCCCTGCTAATTTGCCTGGGAAAGCAGTGGAGGATGACCCAAGTCCTTGGGCCCCTGCACCCATGTGGGAGACCTGAAGAAGCTCCTGGTTCCTGGCTTCGGCCTTGCCCAGCGCTGGTCATTGTGGCTGTTTGGGGAGTGAGCCAGCAAACAGAAGATCATTCTTTCTGTTTCTGTCTCTCTCTCTCTCTCTCTCTGTAACTCCACCTTTCAAATAAATCTTTAAAAAAAAAAAAAAAAGAAAGAAAAAGAAAAAAAAGAAAAATTTCTAAAAGTTCTGTGAGGTAGAGATAAAAATCACAAAATACAGATTTTTGTACTTCAGTTTCTGTGAAGCCCAGGGAGGTGAAATACTGAGGTGCACCAGAGTGGTTAAGTCTGGGACTAAAAAGCATCCATGTCAAATCTTTGAAAAGATGTGAGAAGGCCAAACACAGGACCTGGCAACCTCTCTTTGAAGACCTAAAAACTCTGAAGATAGTTATACACTTGCACACAAGTATATTTATCTTTAAAAATAATGCACACATAACGTAAAACAAGTTGTTTCCTAAAACCTAGAAAGCAATTAAGTATATACTAATCTTAGCCAAAACATAATAAAATTATTATCTAGTTCTGGGATAATTACTAGCTTTATAATCAAATTTGCTTCTAATTTCAAAATTTGTCTTTAAAATCATATTTAAATGAGAAAACAGGAGCAAACAAGTAATAGATTTTTAGTAATATAGCAGAAAACATAAATTATGTTAGGATAAATAATCGATTTTAACTAGGCAGCAGACTATAAGAAAATATTCACGTAAATTTAGCTTTCAAAATATTTTTAGTAGAATACTATCTGAACTTTCTGAATCTTACAATAAGCTGAATAGAGATATTATCTGAGAATAAAACCATAAATTAACTATACCCATGGTTTTCTTCATAATATTGTAGAAGACACCACCCTGCTGAAACATGTGTGGAAGTCCTTTTGCATAAGACCATACATCTTCTCCTGTAAAACAAAAACAGATAAAGAATTAGCAACTAAGCTAGGACTGCTTTAATATGGATTAGCCTAGAACAGAGAATGCAAGGCAGAATTCCCAAATGAATGGAATTTCTTGGTATAACAGAGAGAGAGAAATAGAGTGACAGGACTGTGGCACACTAGAAAGTACACATCTCATCTAAAGGCGGCAGCCACTGCCAAGTGGTGTCATGGAAGAGTATTGGCCCAATGTTTCATGACAACGTGGTTTTTCAAAACAAGCCAGGAATCCAAGTTTTTAATATGAATTCTCTCAATGTTAAAATGTAGGAACTCATTTAAAAATGTCTTTAAAACTGCATGAGTCGGGGCCGATGCAGCAGGTTAATCCTCCGCCTGTGGCGCCGGCATCCCATATGAGCGCCGGGTTCTAGTCTTGGTTGCTCCTCTTCCAATCCAGCTCTCTGCTGTGGCCCTGGGATAGCAGTGGAGGATGGCCCAAGGGCTTGGGCCCCTGCACACATGTGGGAGACCAGGAGGAAGCACCTGGCTCCTGGCTTTGGATCAGTACAGCGCTGGTGTAGTGGCCATTTGGGGGGTGGCCCAAGGGCTTGGGTCCCTGCACCCACATGGGAGACCAGGAAGAAGCACCTGGCTCCTGGCTTTGGATCGGCATAGCTCCAGCCGTTGTGGCCATTTGGGGGATGAACCAACGGAAGGAAGACCTTTCTCTCTGTCTCTCTCTCACTGTCTGTAACTCTACCTGTCCTGTCAAATAAATAAATAAAATCTTAAAAAAAACAAAACAAAACTGCAGAGTCACTACTGGGCATATTAAACAAAAGTTGTCTGAAAACTCATTCATTTCAAAGGAAACACCAAACTCTAGATCACAACAGAAAAGGTTTTAAAATATATTTTTGAAAGCATATTATAAAATTATATACTTCATATTTGTTAAAACTAAGTAAAAGGGCTAGAACAAATATAAAATAATTTATATTGTCTTTAAAAATAGAAATATGGAGGGAAAAATGACTTGGTAAAGAGATTCAGAATAACCTTAAGAAGACCACAAAACATCCACAAGCAAACCACTATTTCAATATTTTTTCAAAATTATGACAGTGGCTATTTCAATAAGAAGTTACACACAAAAAATAAGAATGATAATCACTGTTGAAAAAGTCAAAGAATGGAAGGAACATAAAAATAACTTTGGGTTTGTAGAATATGGCTGTTTTTATTTATTTATGTACCTCTATATTCTGTTATTCTGGTAATATATTCTGATAACGTACCAGAATATTCCTATTCTGTAATGTATAGCTAATACTTTTAAAATCAGGAAATTTCTTAATTTTAACAAAGAAGGGTTTCCTTTTGTCTGTCCGACTAGAATATCATACTGTTGAATCTGAGCTTTGAATGCAGTGATGACACTAACTAATCACTATGTACCTATAATCTCCCAAAGAGTTCTCCTTTCCCATATTCATATACAAGGATGTGAATTCACATGGCAGTTGGCTAAAGCTGTCGTCAGAATAAATTTAAAGTACATAAATTTTAAAAGCCTTGACACTTAAAGTTTCAGATAACCAAAGCATTTATTTATATACATCTTATTTAATAATGAGGCAGTACTACCCAAATGGCTATATTTAAGGGTAGACACACAGAAATTTAATTTAAAATTTTGAGTATTCATAAAATTCCCTAAATATAGAAACATTAATAATCCTGGTAAAAGCTCTGACTGCTGCACTTATCATTAAACTTCTATTTGGATAAATGCTTTCTATAGTGATAGTCTTTCATTTAGTTATTGTCAATGTTATATTAAATACACTCAGTATTTTCTAGAATGGTCTAAGACATCACTTTTTGGAAGTCTTATCAAAAAATAATATGAAAGCACCTAATTCTTTTTATAAAAATCCGGGCCGGCACCGCGGCTCAATAGGCTAATCCTCCACCTAGCGGCGCTGGCACACCGGGTTCTAGTCCCGGTCGGGGCGCCGGATTCTGTCCCGGTCGCCCCCCTCTTCCAGGCCAGCTCTCTGCTATGGCCCGGGAGTGCAGTAGAGGCTGGCCCAAATCCTTGGGCCCTGCACCTGCATGGGAGACCAGGAGAAGCACCTGGCTCCTGGCTTCGGATCAGCGCGATGCACTGGCTGCAGCGCGCCAGCCACGGTGGCCATTGGAGGGTGAACCAACGACAAAAGGAAGACCTTTCTCTATGTCTCTCTCTCACTATCCACTCTGCCTGTCGACAAATTTTTTTTTGAAAAAAAATTCTGAACAGTTGCCAAAAATGTTGAACTCAGAACTGACCACCTGTATACTAGTAAGAAAAGTATTTCTTAGTACCTTTCTTAACCATTCCTTACTTAAGAAAGAACATCACTCGGCTGGCGCCGCGGCTCAATAGGCTAATCCTCCACCTGCGGCACCGGCACACTGGGTTCTAGTCCCGGTCAGGGGCACCGGATTCTGTCCCGGTTGCTCCTCTTCCAGTCCAGCTCTCTGCTGTGGCCCGGGAGTGCAGTGGAGGATGACCCAAATCCTTGGGCCCTGCACCCGCATGGGAGACCAGGAGAAGCACCTGGCTCCTGGCTTCAGATCAGCGCGGTACACCGGCTGCGGCGGCCATTGGAGGGTGAACCAACGGTAAAGGAAGACCTTTCTCTCTGTCTCTCTCTCTCACTGTCCACTCTGCCTGTTAAAAAATAAATTAAAAAATAAATAATAAAAAAAAGAAAGAACATGACTCAACTGCAGTGTTTCTCAACTTCATTTTCATTATCACCCCCTAAGGAGTGTTTTTATTTTATTTGTTGTTAAGGCAGTGTGAAAACTGAAATCTTTATCTGCTGGTTCACTTCCCAAAAGCCTGCAACAGCCAGGATAGGGCCAGGCTGAAGTCAGAAGCCAGGAACTCCATTCAGGCCTCTCACATGGATGGCAAAGACTTAAATACTTGAACCATCATCTGCTGCTTCCAGGGTGCATTGGCAGAGAGCTGCATTGCAGCGCAGTAGCTGTAACTCAAACTGGTACTCAAATATGAGATGTGAGCATCCTAACAGGTGGCTTAGCCTGCTATAACACAAAACCAGCCCCAATAAGGAGCATTTTTAGACATTTATTTAATCGGTGCCATCCTCCCTGACATTTGAATACTTCAGATATACTGTATATCTTATGTACAGTGTATATATATGCATATATATATATCATAGGTTTTTGTTGGTATTTTTTTAAGATTTATTTATTTATTTGAAAAGTAGAGTTACAGAGAGGCATAGGAAGAGAGAGAGAGAGTTCTTCTATCCGCGGTTCACTCCCCAGATGGCCACAACAGCCAGAGCTGCGCCGATCCAAAGCCAGGAGCCGGGAGCTTCTTCTGGGTCTCCCAAGTGGGTGCAGGGGCCCAAGGACGTGGGCCATCTTCTGCTGCTTTCCCAGGCCACAGCAGAGAGCTGGATTGGAAGTGGAGCAGCCCCCCAGGAACCGATTTTTACTCCCTTTAGAGCTCTATTGCCTTAAGGAAAGTATAAATATCATCTAAGCCTCTATTATCTACCTAGCTATGAACAGGTACTTTATATAGGTTCATTACTCATTAAAACTAAGCTCTAAAGACAAGGAGACAAACTCAAAGAGCTTAAGTAACTCTCCCAGGATCACACAGCTGTTAAGTAACAGAGGTAAGATCTGAATCCTGTTTATCATTCCAAAGCTTATACCATTTCCAAGATATTAAACTTCTACTAGTAGTCAAATTGTGTTACAACAAATTTAATGGAACTATCAGCAGCTTTTCTTACAGACATTCAAGGTACTAACAATGGTTGGAGAAAAAAATGTTATTTCCTTTAGTATATAAATACCTCCACAGAAGTCATGTTTGCTGGTAAAAGAAATGAGGAAAGGGACTAGTGATCAGGCAGCAGCACCTAGGACATTGCAAAGTCCCATACTAGTGTTAAATGGCTCTCCAATGCTTTTTTCTACTGATCTGGCTCAGGCCTCATCTCCTGCCTGGATTACTGCCACCTCATAGTTTTCCCTCAAGTCTTGTCCTCCCAAGTCCCTCCTCCATACAGCCTTCAGAGTTAAACATTTAATAGTTTTCGGGCCAGCGCCGCGGCTCACTAGGCTAATCCTCCGCCTAGCGGCGCCGGCACACCGGGTTCTAGTCCCGGTCGGGGCGCCGGATTCTGTCCCGGTTGCCCCTCTTCCAGGCCAGCCCTCTGCTGTGGCCAGGGAGTGCAGTGGAGGATGGCCCAGGTGCTTGGGCCCTGCACCCCATGGGAGACCAGGAAAAGCACCTGGCTCCTGGCTCCTGCCATCGGATCAGTGCGGTGCGCCGGCCGCAGCGCGCCGGCTGCGGCGGCCATTGGAGGGTGAACCAACGGCAAAGGAAGACCTTTCTCTCTCTGTCTCTCTCTCTCACTATCCACTCTGCCTGTAAAAAAAAAAAAAAAAATAGTTTTCTAAAACCATATGGATTCATATGGCAAAATGTAAGATTCATTTTCATGGCATATAAGACACTGTAAGAATTGGTCCTTGCCTGCTTCTCCTATCTCACATCATACTTGACTTCATTTTTTTTTTTTTTTTTTAATTTATTTGACAGATAGACAGTCAGAGAGAGAGACAAAGCTCTTCCTTCCGTTGGTAATTAAAAACTAACTAATGGCCGGCGCCACGGCTCACTAGGCTAATCCTCCACCTTGCAGCGCAGGCACACCGGGTTCTAGTCCCGGTCGGGGCGCCGGAATCTGTCCCGGTTGCCCTTCTTCCAGGCCAGCTCTCTGCTATGGCCAGGGAGTGCAGTGGAGGATGGCCCAAGTGCTTGGGCCCTGCACCCCATGGGAGACCAGGAGAAGCACCTGGCTCCTGCCATCGGATCAGCGCAGTGCGCCAGCCGCAGCACGCTGGCCGCGGCAGCCGTTGGAGGGTGAACCAACGGCAAAAGGAAGATTTTTCTCTCTGTCTCTCTCTCACTGTCT